GTGATTAGGTTTTGTTGGGTTAAGCTCCTATTTATAGCTGAAGTTTTGTGACTAAGACATTAGTTACAGGGTTTTGCTGTCTCTGTCTCATTGTATTCATAAATATCCATCGTATTTAATATATAGGATATTACTGACTCATTCTTATCTTTTGTATTTATCAGACAGGTTAGGGACGATGACTCATTCGTATCCTTTGTAGTTGTTGACTCATTCTTTATCCAATGTATTTAATATTATGATACACATAAGGATAAATACTATTATTATTATTATTATTAATTTTATTATTACTATTTAACCAGGGTATTACATATTTCGTAGATCTATTGGATCTTTTCAATCATGGTCTAAGTTATAACTATACCACAATTATTCATAAAGGAAATGACCAAGAAAAATAAATGCGTTTGTGCAATCCTTTCGAGATACATATAATATAACTTCTTCCGGAAGTTAACAAAATTAACAAACTTAAGACAAAAATATATTAGCCAATAAAATAATAATAATAAATATTTGTACTTGAAACAACGTGAAGAAAAAATCATAAAATAATCGAGAAATGAATTAAATCAATATAAAGTAAAATAATAAGAAACATAATCTAAATATGTATTTGCTACTTTAAGAGCAATAACCAACACTTGTCGTTTTCATGAGGTGACAGTAATCAACAAAGATATTATTTGACAACATATTAACCAATGTTTCAAAATATAAACGCTACTTCAAGAGCAATAATAAACAAACAAAGATATTATTTTCCTCAGCTATGGTTATGGTTGTAGGCTTATTTTTATGGCGTGAGATTCATCATTCTTGCTTTTATTTTAACTAACCACATTCATTTCATTAGTCATCTTTTCTTTGTCATGCTTTGACCCAAGGTAAGATATTCTATTATCCTTTAAGGGTTATATGTTGTCTGCACTCATAGCCTTCAAAATGGCTGGAGTTTTTTTAGAGTTGGCATTTAAATCAGCAGATCTAAGATAATGATATTCTGGCGGCGAATAAAAATTAGTGCGTTTGCCTTATCTTTTTCATTCGAAGCATCAATTTCGATAATCGCGGTAGCAAAGCCTTACCCTTAAAGGTGCATTTCTATGTTCAGGCACTAGGACAGATAATTGTTCCCACTCACTTCTAGAATGTGGAATTTGGGCTTTTCGATATTTGCCATAATGTTGTTACTTCAGGGACAGAAGGATATAGGCTGTCAAATACCCAATAAGGATTTTTAAACACTCACTACTACTTAAGGAGCAAGATTATATATATTGTCACACATCAAATATCATTTTTTCACTTCTACTTCAGGAACATGATGATATATGTTTTCAAATACCAACAGCTTTTCAGGTGTATAAACAAAAATGAAAAAAGGTGAATTGGTAGAAAAAGAAGAATTAGAAATTGATAAAACACCACATAAATTAATATCTACCAAATACCAACCTCATAGACAAAAAATTACTTTTGTGAAAACCTTTTAACCTAGGGGGTGGATGCATTAGAGGCAAGTGGTTGTTTCTTTTTTATTAATTTATTTTCTCTAAAGAGGGTTTTCAAAAACAGTGTTGCAATAGATTGTGATTTTTGTAAAAGACTATGCTATTGCAAATTCTCATAACTATCCATGCTGGTAACATGTTATAAAATGAATGGAGAATGAGATAGATACATGTTACAAGGCAAGTGGGAGAAATAAGAGACAAGAAAAAAAGGAGTAGAGAAGACAAAGAGAAATGAAGGAGATAAAGAGATAGAATTCTAATTCTCATTCATCAACCATTTCTAATACAAGCATCATCAATATATAAAACTACAAGCATGAACGAGGGAGTAATGTTCCATCAGTGTGGTGGTTACAAAATCATAAACAAGGGACAATTGTGCACCATTAATGCCAAACGGTTACATAATTCAAAATTCAAGTCATCTATAAATTAATATTTTAAAACAACATAATTTTTTTTAGGAAAAAGTTCACCAATGCCCCTGTGGTTTACTCCAGAATCACTTATACCCCTGTGGTTTGTAAAAAGGTATTATCACATATGCCCCTGTGGTTTCTTAGTTTTTACAAAGCACAGGGACATATGTGATCGAAAAAAAACCACGGGGGCATAAGTGATTCTGCAGTAAATCATAGGGGCATTGGTGAACTTTTCCCTTTTTTTTAATTCTAAACCAGCCTATATTATATATTTTTTTGATTTGTGTTAGAACCTGATAGCGATTCAAAGAATTAGATAAATATTATTATCTAGTGAATAATCGTCAAGCCGAAAGCCGAATGACTTTAATATTCTAATCTAATTCTCCTGAGTGAAAGACTAAAGTAATACATTTTATAAAAGATATTATCAAAATAATATAACTTAAAAATTAAAATAACAACTGGATACACGTATACAAAAGGAACATCAACTAGTTTTTTTTTTTTTCCTGGTGCCTTCTGTTGCTCATGATAACTATAGTCTTGTACACATTTGAAAGGAATACCAACTAGCGTAGTTGTTTTCTTATTGCCTTTTATTGTTGAGGAAAAGCTTAATGGAAAACGAATGATCTTTTGCTCAAAAGTGCTTGAAATATTGTAAAGGTGAAGTGTAAAAGTAAAAAGTTTGTATATAAATAATCATAAAAAAGTTATAAATGGACAAAATTATTCGCAGATATAATTTTTTATGCAAAAATCAAGTTCTATAATAGGTAAGTATATATGCCTCATAATCAGAGCCATATATACGCTGAACGTGCTTTATAAAGAAGAATAATGTTGCCGAATCGATCAAAATATCCATGAAGCATGTGCTTCATGCGAACAACACGTTGGCATAAGAGAGCAACAATTCAAAGAGGCTGCAACATGAAATAAATTTAAGAACATCTTGTAAATAATAGACTATGATTTTCTGTTCATTTATATAACATAAGGGAGGAATACTACTTTCATTTTTCACAGTTCTCTCATGTAGGATACAACAACTCAATCAGCATAAATTTATTGGCAATTCATCGACAAATTACAACATGATTCTTCCACGTATAATTTCACGTGATCAAGTCAGGTGAAAGGTTCTTAATCATTGGTAAATAAATCAATAATAATAATAGATAAAAAAGAAAAAAAATATTAAAATATAGTGTGAGAAAAAGATAACCATTGATTTATCTATCAACAGTTAAGAACCTTTTACATGATTTTATCATGTGAAATCACATATGACAGCATTCATTCGGAATTATATATAGCACATGAATAAAAACCCATAAAACTTGGGTAATTGAAGAGAAAAGTGGAACGAGCTAGGCAGCTAGCAGAGTTAAGGCTACAACTGGCTATGTATTTGATGTTGGATTATTAATGAATCTTTCCTCTAACGGGCTATTGACATATGAAGTGGACCTATAATGTGGAATCTTGCATAGGATCAACAAGGCTACGTTGTCTAGAAAATGGGCCCGCCATTGTCAAAGTAGGCCTAATAAAATGGGCTATGTTTATAATTAAGGGTTTTATTTTTCTTATGTTGCATGAGACAACTTGTCTCATGCAACACACAAAAAATGAATGGGACCCACTAAAAAGGAAGAGAAGAAAATAAAAAAGTGGGCCCCACCTACTTTTTGTGTGTTGCATGAGACAACTTGTCTCATGCAACATAAGAAAAATAAAACCCTATAAGAGTTTCTTTTTTCTCATGTCACATGAGATATCATTTCTCATGTCGTAGATACAATAAGTGGTGGGGCCCACCACTTATTAAAAAAGAAGAAAAAACAAAAAGGTCAACACGATTTTCGATGTCTCATAACATGAGAAAATTATCTCCTATTACATGAGAAAATGATTTCCCATAAATAAAAGAAAAATATGTTTCTCATGTTAGCATAGAATATTTTTTTCTCATGCACACACAGAAAAAGGATAATATCCATTTTTTTTTCTCACTCTTTTCACCTTGGTAGATCTCACCTACTTTTTATGTGTTATCCAGTGCAATATCATAAACATACTCTCCTAAGTGAAAAACGTATTAATGTTAACGTCAGTTTCTTCTTTTTAATTCACTCCTATTTATTAAATATGAATCCTCTTATTTAATATATGCATAATTTCTTATTCTGGTGTTTCTTGAAGAATGTCCTTCTTAACCTTCTCTTTTTTTAAAAATAAAATAAAATTTAAATCTTTTTTCAACCTAAACAAGGCATATTCTCATATTCAATTTCAAATATATTCTCTTTTAATTTGTTTTCATAGATAACTAAATTTAAAAATATCTATGCCAATATGAATGTATTAATTGACACACTAGTAGACATAGGATTCGTCTCGTAATGATCTTCTAGTTCTTGGGAACTGATTGTGTAATAATATACATTTCTAAGATAAGTAAAAAATACCAAATCTCAGTAACTTGTTCAGTCGAGTGGTCTCTAAATTGTCTCATACAACAACTAACAAAAAAACAAAACACAATTATCACATACATTAATTAAAACAGCATACATAAGAGGTGTTGTTGGTATGCCAATTTTTGTTTGTACATTGCTGATACTATTCAGTTTGGCAGCACATCATACAATCAATCAATGACCATCACTCACCAAACAGCATCCTTTTCCCTTTGGAGTCACGTTGCCTTAATCTTACTACCCATTTGTTCACTTAAAAATCCAACAACATCCTTTGGAAAATTTGCTTCCTTTCAACAACTCACCATGCTTCAGACAGGAACTGAATTCCTCTATGAAAGGCATTTGGCTAAGGAAATTGCAAACAAAAAGTAAAAAAGTGAAGCCACAAGGTTGTTTTAATGCCACCAAATTTATTATCTAGAGTGGAAAATAAAATTGATTAGTTGGTCTTTCTTCATCCAGTTCTACTTCAAGTTCAATATCCCAACCAACAACAACAATATCCATAAGGTTCTTATTTATATGATCAAAATTTAATTTAATTTACACACACAACCAACCAAATAATGAATATGCTCCTATGGCTGCCAGAAAACCCAACATTCCAACCTGGATGGGACATAGAAGAAATCCATGCCACATTTTTCAAATGCATCAGTTGGCAAGTGGAAGAAACCTTGGATATAATCAATTGCCCTTACCATTATGTCTGTGACAGAACATACCCTGAAAATTACCCTCCTTCTGTTGATATCTTGGTCCTTCTTTTCACTACAGCTTCTTACTTGGTGACTCTTGTTATTGTGATAATGGATATGAGTTTAGGAAGAGGAAGAATCTTCTTGAGTCAATCAAAAAGATTCCTGTTGCCATCTGGTCCTATATCTCTCCCACTTATAATCCTAGCCTTTGCAAAGGGTCCTCAAATTAACACAATATTTCCACTCTCTTGCACTGGTCCTGCAATTCTTCTACTTGTTCTCATTTCTGCCTTATCTTTTGACAATGGAGCTGATAAGGACATTAAGTATGTTTTCTTTGCAGCATCAACAGTGTCTGGAATTTTGCATGCAAGCTTATATCTGGATTCTATTGTGTTACCTTATTATACAGGTTTTGATGCAGTGATGTCTTCAACATTTTCAGGTGAGTGTGCATCTTGTGTATGCAGGAAAGAAGCATTGGTTGTGGGAGGAAAACTAGTGAGGTATAGGGGTTGGTCAATGACTACATTTTTGGTTGTGGGGGTTCTTTGTTTGAGGATTATATGTAAAATCTCTGGAGAAAATGCTGGGAGATTGTTGTCCATCACAGCCTTGATGGAAAGGTTTAGCTGGATCTTAATAACTGTGGATTGTGTTTATCTCATATCAAACTCACCACCAGAAAGATTAGTGTTGAGAGTTGCTGCTTTTGGAGGCATTTTTCTTTTGATTTTCCTTCATGTCCTCAAAGAGGCATGCAATCAAGTTTACACAATGGCTTATGTGGCAGAAAAATTGAAATGGGTATCAACCTCATTGCAAAAAATATGAAGAAAAAATAATTATCAAAAGCATAATGGATTTTGGGAAATCAATAGCTTAATTTTGTTGTAAACCACAAACTGTTGTTTTAGATGCTATTGCCATTTTTTTCTTCCAATGCAAATTAAGTCTTTTCTTTTTCTTAACTTGGTTCTTTTTGCTTGTCTACTTCACACACACAATATGGCTCTTAGAAATCAATATTTACTTTTCTTAATATCTGGCGTTTTATATTTAGTATAAGGGTTCGTTTTTTCTGCGATTACTGCGGATAACTTATCTGCAGTAAGCCCAATACTACGTCGTTTTGGACGGAAATCATGGTGTTTTTGTAATTTTAATTTATTTCAGGATTATAATAGTCTTTATATCTATAATTTTTTAAGATTTCAATACCAAAACGACGTCGTTTTGGGAATAAATGCAGATAAGTTATCTGCATTAACTGCAAAAACATTTTTCCCTTAGTATAATTCACAAAAAAAAAATCATCTGAACTTGACCACAAGCAACTATAGACAGAGCTGGCACCAATTCTTTGCTTTTTGAACCTTTGTTTTTTTTTTTTTTAACAAAGTGCAGTTTTCAAAGTAATTCTGTTCTTCTACTTCAAATTCAAAAACGATAAACAAAATTAATATGACATTGTGTAGAGTGTAAAATTAGGATGCAAAGATTGGGGAGCCAAAATCAAAATTTTAAGGGGATTACGGTTATATTTAAAAAATAAGATAAAACTTGAATGTAAAAATTGAAATTCAACCCTTTTGGATTGCCATGGCCCTGTAATCTCTCACCTAGATTCGTCCATGATCATTAATTAAATAAAGAAATTTCACTAATGTGCCAATTGATTTGCCGAATAAGTTAGATGCAATGTCAAATAATTTGATACCATTCAGTTAAATGATTTCATGTATATAATTTGGGAAAAAGAAGTATTCTTTTGAATGACACAAGCTTGTGTTATTTTAGGTGTTTTAAGTTTGTGTAAAACTGAGAAGTTGCTTTTTTTTCTCTCTCCTCAGTCATATCGCTGACGTGTAAAGTAAAAAAAAAAAAACTTTTCAGAATTACACAGAATACGACTGTGTAAATCACTAAGGTGGTGTTTGGTTCAAGAGTTTTTTTCAGTTTCCTAGCTAAGTGTAGAAGGCATTCTCAATTCTCCATGTTTGGTTCATGGATATGATGAATTTTATCTATCAAAATCACTTGCCTATCATTCCACAATTGCATGTAAAAATCAACAAATTCACTGTTTCATAAACGCTAAATGGAAGGTGGTATTTGACATAATACCGGCTAAGTCATTGAAATAGTAAAATAGAGTTACAACATTACCCTGGCACGTGAGATATAATAGTCCATCTTAATTAATTAGTAAATCAAGTGTAATTAATTAATTAAACATGTTTTAGTGAGTGAAATTAAGTATAAGGCTTAATTAGATGAATCTGAGTCACTTTGGAGTTAAAAAGTGTATTCAGTGAAAATTAAGGGGTATAAATGGGTACTAGCAAAAGTACCCAAAATATAAAAATAAAAATAGTAATATTCCTAGAATAATATTTCAGACTTTTGGGTAAAGTTTGGTAATTATTGGAGTTAAATAGATAGACGAACTAATACCCACATGTTACCACTTAACTTATGTTAAGTGATAAAATGCAAAAAGAACCCATCTTTCCCCAGAAACCCGTCGAGGAACAGAGACAAAGAAGGAGAAAGAAGAAGAAGGGAAAGGAGGGAGGAAGAGAGAGTGAGAGCAAATCTTAACCGATTGGAGTGATTCAAAAGCCTAAATCACTCTAAATCTTCCCCTCTTTCATAATCCTAGCTTTGTTTTGAGTGGGGAGCATTGTGGAGAGAGATATTACCTCTCAAAAATTCGGCCCTTTGGTGAAAATTGGGGTTTTGAGAGTTTCTACCTCCATTGAAGCTTTAGGAGCCATCAATCCTTGGTTGTGTGACCATTGGTGGTAAGATTCTAACCCTTGAACCTCATGATTCCTTGAAATTTGCATGAGTTAGGGTTTGTGAATAGTAAATTGGGATTTTTATGAAATGTAGTTGAATTAGCTATGTTCTAGGAAGAATGGAGTTTAGAGCATGTTGGGAAAAATGCTAGGAACGACATTTAATCGGTGGAAATGAGCCTAGATAGTCATTTGATAATTGTTCATAATATTGGAAAATTCATGCTTGGATTGGTTAGTATTCTAGCATGTTGAACAATTAGTGAGTTGAATGATTGATTGGATCCTTGTGATGTCTAGGATTGAGACATTTGGACCAACCGTGAGTGATCAACCGCTTGAACAAGCTACGGAGCTTGAGTAGCTCATTGGAATTGGTAAGCTCATACTTGTGTTGTGTTTTGAATTGAGTAGTTGATGGTTGATTGTGAAATACTCTTGGATGCAATGTGTTGATTGCATTACACCATGTGTAGGTGTTGGTTTTGGAGTAGAGTATTGTTGACATTGGTGAAGAACAAAGGTCGACTGAAGCATTGAGGTAAGCCTTCGGACCTTGGGTGTAATTCCCTTGATTGTTCCACCAAGCCCTGAAAGGGTAGTGGTGATTATAGTGTATATAAATGCAATGAAATAGTGTAATGCTTTGTTATACGTATGTGTATGCATTTGGTGTGGCATAGGATGGTGTTTCCCTATGTGGTATGTTGCATGACGATGCGTAAATCATACTTGGTAGTTAGCTGGCCAGTAGGACTATTTGCATCTGAGTTTCCTTAGGACAGCTTGAGAGCTCGAGGGATTTCTCCTGGAGATGTATTGCACTTTGCATAGATATGTATTTACTGCATTATTATTGTTATTGCTATTACACTGGTATGGAACTGTGGGGTGGAGAGATGCTCCAAGGACCCCTGGTTTACTGGATATATTCGTATATCTCACCCCGTGTTGTGGGGACCCCCTTTCAGGTAAGGATGCTGCAGGAGCCTCTGGTGGCAAGTGGCCATATCTGGATTATGCATGAAATGTGGCATTTCTTTTGAGTTTATGCATGCCTTTTGTAGTTGACATGTATAGGATTTTATTTTGAAAGCCCATGGTCATTTGTATATCTTGATTCATTGGATGAACTTAGCCTATGCTCATGCCTTTGGTTACACCTTTTGTTGATGGGAGCCAAGGGAATGATCATAGTGTTTTGTAAGCTAAGTTCTATGATTTGTAAAGGATATGTAATGTAAATGATGCCTACTTGAAATTCAATATATGCATGCTTGTTATGTATTGAGTTGTTGAATTGGTTGGGCTGAAAATCAATTAGGTACCCTTTTGTTTAAACTGGTAAACGATGAGAAAACAAAGGTCATGCTGCCCAAATTCTAGCTAAATCTCATGAGGAGAGGTTGGATGAGTGCTAGGATTTAGTTTTGGGGCATGGACAATTGGGGTTTGTAATGGGGATGCATTTTCCCCAAGGCTTGGACTTGAGAAATCAGGGAATTGGAATTCCCTGGCAGCGCGCTTAAGCGCCCAGGAGCGCGCCCAAGCGCCTTGCTGCCCCTGCGAGTGCCAATGCATTCTGCCTCCTCGCGCTGGAGCGCCCAAGTGGGGGCTTAAGCGCCCAGGATTGCGCGCTGGAGCGCCCTGGCGTGCGCTTAAGCGCCCTTTGCTGCAAAAAGTTGGGAGGCTTACTGCCCCCTCGTGTTTTAGCGCCCAGGGTGGGGTTGAAGCGCCCAGGGTTGCGCGCTTGAGCGCCCTGGTCCGCGCTTAAGCGCCCTTAGCCACTGTAGGAGGAGATACTTCTGTCTCTGCGCGCTAAAACGTCCCCGTGGGAGCTTGAGCGCCCAGGATAGCGTGCCTGAGCGCCCTGTTGCGCGCTTAAGCGCCCATCCACACTGGAATGCCTGATGCTTACTGCCTCCGTGCGCTTAAGCGCCCATATGGAGGCTTTAGCGCCCGATAGCGCGCGCTTGAGCGCCCGGTAGCGCGCTGAAGCGCGCGGGGCCTGTGACCAACACTCTCTTGTGTTGCTTCAAATTGTCCTAACTTGGGCTACGGTACTCCGATTTGAGCGCGGTTTGAAGCCACGCATATCTAATGAAGAGATCTACAATATAGTAGAAGTTGTGAAATAAATAGGAAGTAAATTAATGGTTTAAAAATGGAATAAGAACATGATGTTAAGCTTAATTGATATGATTCCGTAAGGTAATACGGTTATGATCACGGAATTGGGTATTATAAATTCGGTATGTTTTAAAATGAAAAATTTATCCGGATTTTAATTGAACCCATGTGATTGTAACTGCGCTTAATATCATAATGCGATGTTAACAAACCGGTTCTAGAACGGGGTGTTAAATTAGACAACGATGACAAAGTTTGCAGAAAGGTACAGAAGGTTCAGGTGAAGAAGGCAAAGTTTGCAAAATCTTCAACCTTGTTCCTCAAATTTCCCTTCTACCTTCACACCCGGGATTGAGAGCCTACCCACTAAATTTTCCTGGTTTTGCTTACCATCATGCTTTCCAGGTTCAACCCAAACCAAGTTTTGCTTCAATTCCTCGATTCTATGATAATGGACTTCTTGAACTAACAAAATTCGATAAAATTTTCAATCAACAATCCAGCGTGCTTTTAATATGGAAGATGAACTACGCAAAGTACTCAGAATTGAGATTTTGATGTCCAACTTACATATTCCAAAACATAATAAAGTTTTAGAATTGAACCTGCGTCTCATCTACGGGTCTTGGGTTGCAGAAAAGCATGAATGACAGCGGTTTCTAAAAGGGTTATTTTGTAATTTTACTAAATTTACCTATCAATATTTTATTTTCAACCAAACACACATTCAAGAATTTTATATAATTTTCCTAGCAAAATTTTATTCAACCAAACAACTTTTTTTACATTTCCCTATCAAATTCGCTTTCTAATCATTTCCCTATCAATTACATTTCCCTAGTATTCAAAAAATTTCTTCTCAATCAAACATCCCCTAAGAGAATACAACTTGTATCCTTTTAAACGTACTACTCCGAATAATTTTGAGTATCGCTCGTGCATAACTTAGCCCGAATGATTAGACCCCGTTGGCTCCAGGAATCAGGGGAATGTGAGTCAGCCCAGTATTCCATACAACCTGCGTGTCAAGGGACAAAACATCGTACACCCTCAGTTTAAGACTAACTCGTTTAATTTTGGAAACAAAACAAGAAAATCATGAAGCTGTTCTTCTCCGTCCCCACCTCAAAATCAAAACCGAACTCCACCAACGAAGAAGACAACAACACCTCGAAACAGTTCTTCACAGAATTCGACCCTTCGAAATCTAAATCTCCAACAACTAAAACCCTTATTATCCCCCCAATCCAAAACGAATGGATTCTCGTCAACAAAATGAACAACCTCGCATTCGAGCACGACACCTCCTCCTCCGCCGAATCCGGTTCCGATTTGGCGTACGGTCTCAACCTCCGTCGCGTTCGGGCAGAGGCGGCATCGCTGCAGAAGCTGAAGGACGATTTGAAGAGGCTGCCGGACGATCAGGGGTTCGACGAGTTTAAGGATGTCCCTGTGGAGGGTTTCGGAGCGGCTCTGCTCGCCGGTTACGGGTGGTCCCCAGGGATGGGGATAGGGAAGAATGCGAAGGAGGATGTGAAGGTTGTGCAGTTCGAGAGAAGAACCACCAAGGAAGGCTTGGGTTTTGTTAGAATGGTTGCGACTAATCATGATGCTGAATTGGGTTCAGTACAAGAAGACAAGTGCTTGAACGAATTGAAGGACTTGAAGATCCACACAAGGGATGTTAATGGGGTTGATTTTGAGGTTGAAGAGAAGAGAGTGGATCTTAATGGGGATAGTGACAAGCAAGAGATTGAGAAGAAGGAGGTTTTTTGGCTCACAAGTCACCTATGTAGCACCGATACCGACATGGAACACGTGACACGACACGATACGACATTCCGATACGTTAATTCTAAAAACGGTTAGATTTCGACACGTTAGGACACGTTGTAATATTAAATGATTTTTATTTATGTAATGTATATTATATTTAATATTCAATAATTTAACAAAAAAAAAAAAGTTAAACTTATAATACTATCAATTTTGCAAAGAAACATAAAATATCTCAAATATTTATATTAAACTCAATAAAATTATAATCGTAATCTAACGAATCTATTAGTTGGAACTAAAAATGCAATGCAATACAATCTTTGAACCATTTTTTGAGTTTCTACAATGCGTGTTGGAGTGTCGGAGAGTGTTGGAAAGTGTCGGACACGACACGTCAAGGTCTTTAAAGTGTCGGTGCTTCATAGCAAGTCACATTCGGGTTAGGGTGATTAGCAGAGATTTTAAAGGGGGGCGCTTGTATTTGAAGAAGGGGGAGATTCTTGATGTTGTTGGGCCTACTACTTGTGATGTATCTATGGATGAGACCAAGGAGGTCGTTCAAGGGGTGTCTCGAGATGTTCTCGAGACGGTTATCCCGCCATGTGGGGGATATGTTCTGGTATTGTATGGTAAGCATAAAGGTGCCTTTGGGAGTCTGGTTGAGAAGGATTTGGACCTGGAACTTGGCATTGTTAGGGATGCTGATACACATGAGCTGCTCAATGTGAAACTCGAACAGATTGCAGAGTATGTAGGGGACCCGAGCTTCTTGGGATATTGATTATATTCTATGCATTGCAGGACTCCCACATGGAGAAACAAATTTACTTACAAGTATGCATCTTGGGAATTTCAAATGTTTGTTTCTTTAACACCTGGATATGATTTAAGGATAAAATTGTATGTGTTGCTTGGGAACTTTGCAGTTTGTTGATGGTGGACATGATAATCTATTTCAGATTGAAGCTTTTATTTTTGAGTGGTGGTTTTTATATATTGTTTGAACAATCTATTTTCATTTTTTGGTTATATATCGTTAATCTATTTTCACTTTTGAACAATCTATTTTATTTTTGAAGATTTTATTTTTGAGTGTTGCTTTTCAGGGCTGCATTACAAATGTGGCCTCCATTAGATGATGTGACGTAATGAAATATGAAAAGGATGTTGGTTATCCTGTGTTGAAGTGTTGTGGGAGTATGTGGTTCATAGAGTTTACTAAAGGTTGTGCATTTTCATTGTCTAGGAAAAAATTGTTATTGTAACGGTGGCAATATATTATGTGTCTGTGCCGTCCAGTGGGTGATTTCAGTGTTGAGTTGAAATTAAGGATCCAACTTTGATGTGTTCTTGGTTGTTCTTTTGTCTCTGTTGGTATGATCTAGTATCCCCAATAGCTTTGTAGTGCTGAGTAATGGTGTAAGATTGTTTTGTCTCTCAGAATTGGTTATTGACTGAATTTGGTTGCTAATTGTGAGTGCCAACTGTTGTCAAGGGTTTCAAATTAGGAGTGTCCTTATATTCTTCTAAGGATGTTTTATGATAATTTGTATTTGATTGATGAACTGATGTTGAAGTTTGATTTGATAACTAATTTTTTGTTGCTATGGATTTGATGACATGTGGGAACAACACTGATATTAATTGGTGAATATTGGTGATGCTATGTTGTATTTTTTGTTGCCATGTTGCTATGCTAATTCGTTTTGTAATCTTCAATTCTATATGAGGGTCGTTTAATTGGTGAAAAGAAGGGATGAGGACAATTTTGGTTGGTTATTTGAATGGTTAATGTGATTCGTTTTGTGTCTGTGTTGATTATAAATTCTCATCTTGCTGAAAAACTCAAAAAAAAAATAAAAAAAATGCTACTATATAAAACCTGTGAAAGTTCTTTAGTGTCATAGTTTGAAGCTTAAATATTAGGATATATAGTGAACTAATAATCCTTTAGTCAAATACTAGCTTTTTCTAGTTCCTGGCACTTCCAAGCTGCACTATGTTTTGCTATTAAGGATGTTGGGTCTCTTCATTCTTTGTTTGGCGTTCAGGTCAACTACAACTTCTCCGAGGAATGTTTATGCATCCATCCAAGTACATGCAAGTACTAGAAAGAAGTGACTTGGTTGAGTGCAAGCCACTGAGTACTCCTTTATAGTTCAAGTCACTTTTATCAGCCTCTAGCTCTGCTTTATTACCTGATATAGAGCTCCAGATTGCCAAAATCAAAGATGGATGTTAAAGGGTTGTTGAAAATTGAATTTTCTATAAAATGAATTTAAAAAAAAAACCCTCTACTGTCTTCTTATTCGAAAACCGTAAATGTATTTGAAGAAATGCATTTGAATATGTAATTTGAGATTTTCAAAGAAAGTTAGCTGTTGCTGGTTAGTTTGGCCCCAATGTTGGTTATTCATCAATCTATTAAGTAGAAGAAATCTATTAGCGCTATACATGATATTTGATATAGAAGTTAGAAAAGAAAATTTGTAATCATGTATTTGAAAAAATTTGTTGCAGCTTAAGTACACATCGCAAAACATACCACTTCATTCAAAGAAAATGAACTGCGGACTTAACTTCAAGTAGTGATAATAACATTATATTTAAGAATAATGGGCTAAACGCTAACATACTGTGTATTTATTTCCCTAACGAATTCGAGAAATGAAACTATTTAAAAAGAATGAGAAATGTAAACTAATCTACAGAAATCTGCCTCAAATTGACATGAAGGTATCCTGTAAATTGTGGGTAAAAGCAATGTGGTAAGAAGGTTTGGTAAAAGATTTTCTAGCTTTTGAGATGTAGTATCATACTAATGGAGTCAAAGTCATAGGTTGTAGATCAGTCTCGTATGGTTGAATTACGAGATCAGTCCACATACAGTCATTTTCCGGCTCTTTGACCAATTTGGATTATTTCATATTTTAATTTATCAATTTGATATTTGTTTCACGGTATTTACCAATAGGGTCATTTAGTGACGCGAGAGGGACCTAGCGTCACTGAGTGCCGCTATCATTCCCCCGCATCACTCACATTCTTTCATTTATTTTTTTTCAATTGAGTGACGCCTCCTCCCTAGGGGCACTCACAGGATTGTGCCAAGTGGCACAATCTTATTAGTCTCGTTATCGTAAAACTTCAGAAAGCCATAACTTTTGATTTGGGTATTCAAATCGGATGTTTTTTTATTTCATATAACTTTTCAAGATCTATGCAATGACATCTCATTTGACATATTTTATTTCCCACAAACAGTTCAAATCTGTAAAAAAGTGGAACTCATGTTGCAAATTTGAACTATGTTATTGGAATATAAAATATGTCAAATGAGATGTCATTGCGTAGATTTCGTAAAGTTATGTAAAATAAAAAAAAAAATCATCTAATTTGAATATCCAAGTCAAAAGTTATGTCATTCCGAAGGTTTACGGTAACGGGACTAACGAGATTGTGCCACTTGGCCTGTGAGTGCCCCAGGAGGGGGGCATCACTCAATTGAAAAAAATAAAAAAATAAAAGAATGTGAGTAATCCAGGGGGAGGGTAGCGGCACTTAGTGCTGCTGGGTCAATTACCATTATGCCCTTTATTAGAAAACTACCCACTACTCTTAAGATAACTGCACCTATCAACAGTTATTCTTTTAAACAACTTCCTTAGCAGTCAATTACCATTATGCCCTTTTATTAATTAAATCAAATAACACTTAATATTATACATGGGACAAATAAGGTTTTACAAGCTTCTCCAAGAAATAACAATCTCTGAATGACAACACTCGCAAATATTTTAGTGTTGAAAACATAACATTGTTGAATATCTTGAAGCCTGGGTCACCTTTCCTTATGTTTATTTCTACCATCAGACTGCGTAACCTCTTACACTTGTAAATTTGCTCTAATATTTTATCAACATCTTTTACTTCATCACAGCACCACCAAATGTGACGTGTCTTTTCAGGGATATCTGGCACCCTATCACCCTCTATTCGTAAACAAAATTCTCTTGACGCCGATTTTGCTAAATCATTGACAAGATCATGCATGATGAAGAGACTGCCTACTAATTGTTGGAAAAATGAAATTGACTCTAGACGATTGAAGAATTCATTACCCAACTCTTCTTCGCTTTCATCCGTTCGGTTGCATTTCAGCAAACCTTGTGCCATCCAAAGCTTGATTAACTCTTCCTTTCTGAACCGGTAACCTTTGGGAAACAAGGAACAATAAGCAAAACAACGCTTCAGATTGGATGGAAGGACGTGGTAACTCAATCTCAGTACCGGATTAATGTTGTTTTCATCCGATAAAATCCACATATCAGTCTTCAGTATCTTATTCCAAAAAAGTTGAGAGAAATTTCCTCCCAAGAGATTTCCCAATACTTTTATAGCCAAAGGCAACCCTCCACACTTCTCTACAATTTTCCTGCCAATTGATTCAAGATTTCGATATCCACTTACATCCTTGTCCCCAAAAGCAAGTCTCACAAATGAACTCCATCAATCATTTTCCTTCAATTCCTTTAAAGGAAGTAGTTGGAATTCATGACTGATGCTACCTGCTTATCACGTGCAGTGACAAGAATTCAACGCACAGTGCCCAACTATAGAATTCATTCATTCATAAATTAACTTTCATTCATTCATTCATTCAAAAACCCTAACTTTTCATGAATTAAGAATTCATTCATAATTATATATGGAAAAACATAAATTCTTAAACACTTGCTCTGATACCACATGTAAGCAATTAATCAATAATTCATGCTCAATTACAATCATATCAAGAACATGAAAAAGAATCTTTAGAATTTATGAGTTTCACATAAACATACCTTTGTCCATAATTGCGGAAGATCTTTAACGGTAGAATGCTTTCTCATAGTCTTGACCCTTCCATTTCTTGTATCTTCTTCTGATAGGAATGAGATACAGCGCTCGTGGGCAGACAATGATGGTAGTCAGTTTTCTAGACCCCTATTTATTAGAAAACTACCCACTACTCTTATGATAACTGCACCTATCAACAGTTATACTTTTAAACAACTTCCTTAGCAGTCAATTACCATCATGCCCTTTTATTAATTAAATCAAATAACACTTAATATTATACATGAGACAAATAAGGTTTTACAAGCTTATCCAAGAAATAACAATCTCTGAATGATAACACCCGCAAATATTTTAGTGTTGAAAACATAATATTGTTGAATATCTTGAAGCCTGGGTCACCTTTCCTTATGTTTATTTCTAACATCAGACTGCGTAACCCCTTACACTTGTAAATTTGCTCTAATATTTTATCAACATCTCTTACTTCATCACAGCACCACCAAATGTGACGTGTCTTTTCAGGGATATCTGGTACCCTATCACCCTCTATTCGTAAAAAAAATTCTCCTGACACCGATTTTGCTAAATCATTGACAAGATCATGCATGATGAAGAGAGTACCTCCTAATTGTTGGAAAAATGAAATTGACTCTAGACGATTGAAGAATTCATTAACCAACTCTTCTTCGCTTTCATCTGTTCGGTTGCATTTCAGCAAACCTTGTGCCATCCAAAGCTTGATTAACTCTTCCTTTCTGAACCGGTAACCCTTGGGAAACAAGGAACAATAAGCAAAACAACGCTTCAGATTGGATGGAAGGACATGGTAACTCAATCTCAGTACCAGATTAATGTTGTTTTCATCCGATAAAATCCACATATCAGTCTTCAGTATCTTATTCCAAAAAATTTGAGAGAGATTTCCCAATAATTTTATAGCCAAAGGCAACCCTCCACTAACCCCCAAGGGTAGCTTAGTTGGCAGCTGAGCTCCTAAGGGATTGCTTGGTGCAGGGATCAAACCATGCCTCAAGCAGTTTCTTGGAAAATCTTTGGGGGCCAGAGGATGAGCCAAAAATCTTCGGTTGGGGGATTATTC